GACTGAAGCATAATGCTAAAGATTGTTATAGCTGTTAACTGTGAAGCTCAGATCATGTTTATCTACCGTGGTTTGCTCTACGGCTGGATTCTGCAGTAGCTAAACTGCACTTTAACAAAATGAAAATAAATCACATAACCAGTAATCCTCAACATGAATGTGATGGGAAATTGTCACTGCTTGACAACACTGTCTAAATCCACTTGTTATGAGAGTGTCGTATAACTGGATAAAGTCATAATCCTATAAAATTAATCTTACATGTTAGCACTTTAAAGTTTTTATGGCAGATTTTGAAGGGATTACAGGGACACACATATAAAATCAGTGAGATAATCAATCAACAGAAAACATTGTTATGCTACATCGGTTCACATTCAGAAACATTTGAAGGGCAATTGTCATGCATATGGTGTTTGATTTATTTCTGCCCTGGATTTACTAAGCAAATTACGTCAAATACACTCAGGCAAAAATCATGTCCGGATGGAAACTATTTGTATTTAAGTTTTGGTTTCTGCTTTGTAACTTTATTATTGTTGTTCTTGTTATTAACATTTCTTCACTTTACTGCATTCCTGTGAGCTTTAAGAACCAATCAGAGACGTCACGCTGGAACATTTCAAAACCAATTATGAAATATGTCATCTCTCTAATTCATATTGTGATATAAAGTATGAATTAAAGCTATAATATGTCTGCACAAACCCAATCCAGACGATTTAATTGCATATAAAATGTATTTACTGAATTAGCATGCACACCTCATTAGAAGAGAGGATAAGTTCCACCAGCAGCAAACGCCAGACTATTTTTATGCGAGCAATCTGCATAACACAAATAGCTCTGGTCGATGATGAGGCGACACTGTTTGTTCTTTCTCTAATTTACATAAATATACATTATTATGCATGAGGGTAAATGGGACCAGATCTGCCTTTGCATCTTAGATTTAGAGTTAGGAGGAATATTTAAACCCAGGTTTGCAGACATTTAGCACATTTAAACAGCTTTATGGATTTGCTCTTGACTGGTTGCGCTGCTCAGTGATCATCATAAAGGGGGTAAAGTATCTCCCCCCCCTCACCTCTCGCTCTCCTTTTTTTTTTCTTGTTTTGAAGCCACGCCTCTTCCTATCATCCCACCAGAGCTAAATATAGCAGCTGCAGGAAGGGTACTAGTACTTCAGGTAGAGCAGATGGTATACGTTCTCTTGAGACTTGATCCTTTTCTGCTGTTACTAATAAAGTCGTGTTCATATATCCCTGCTGCCCAATTACTGAATATAAAACGTCTTTCCCATCACTGTTTTCTGTTATCTGTTCAGTTGAAGTTATGCAGCTGTAAGCTGCAGAAAATCTGTGCCAGGATTTCTGTTGCCAGCATGGAGGCGGGCTTAAACAAGTTTGACCTTAATTCCTTGGTTGCCGTTTTGAGCTCAGACTACCACATTTATCAGTCACTATAAAAGAACGACACACAATCCTTACACAAAGGACTCTTTAAAGTCTATATTATTTTTTTATTAAAAAATCAGGACATAAGCAGCTTTAATTGCCTTAGGGGTAGCCATCTTTGGACTACGTCCTGGATGAAAACAGGAATCAGTTGGACCATTTCTCCCAACACATCCTCATGCATCAGCATATTTTTGCAGCTGTTTGTAGGTTCAATTCTCGCAGCAGTCTGTGTTTTTCAGAACAAATAACATGCAAGCTACTGCTTTTTTATGTGGAGACGTCCAAATTAGGACCTGCAGTTTCACGGTTTATATTAAGACGAAGAAAAAATAGGCATAAGCATTACGCAGCATAATTTTATATCTATACACTAAGCATGCCACTGCGCCATCACTCTGAGCAGCTGGAAATCAATCCACCTGCTGCTACAGCTCCCCCCGCAGGCTGCCCGTTAACACTGCATCCCTGTGCACCACACAGCGTCGTGACTATAATGACTTCGTGCGTTGCTTGTGACAGTGTGCCACACTGAGGATGGAGGATGGACCCATGTGAAACAGTGTTTTAAAGTGTAGGCGTCAGCATACAGAGTCGCCTCATGGGCTGAAAATGACTAAAACAGCTGAGTGTGCTCTTATGCTCTTATTCCCTGAAGCGTCTGCTCAAGGCCGTTTTTATGACCTGTTTCTTTGCTTTCTTTTCTTTTTTTTTCTAAATCTGTTTGACTTTAATTATAAACCATAGATTTGCATACTTAGTATAATTTAGCGTCTTTCCTTTGAGCACTGTCGTTTCGACATAATGCAGGTTGCTGCTCAGGATTGTTAACTTCATAGAAATGCCCAGCAGAGGGCAGCATCAGCCTGTCTGTTCCTTTGAGACTGGTTTGCTTTGACTTTCCTCTTTGCAGCTTTTACTGAAGGATAGTCCTTATGAGAGTTGTGATAGTCTTAAAGAGTGCATGCATTCAGTAGCATTCCCTGCAAATGTATGGTTGCCTTTATAACTACAAACTTTAATGCATTTTTGGAAGCATTATAATTAATAAAGCTCTGGTAAAAAAAAAAATGTAAGAGCCCACTGCATTGAACCACATTGAAAACCTCCTGTTTATTCCACCAAATATTGGTTTCTGAACTCTTCATGAGTTAAAACGTTAGTATTGTTGTTTCTAAATCAATATTAGCTTGTTTTCTTTGCATTATTTGAGGTCTGAAAGCGCTGCATCTTTTTTGTTATTTTGTTAATTTCTCATTTTCTGCAAATAAATACAACATTTTTGCTTGGAATTTTGGAGACATGTCAGTAGTTCATAGAATAAAACAACATTGTTCATTCTACTTAAACGCATACCTATATGGAGTAAAATCAGGCAAACTGATCATTTTGCAGTGGTCTCTTCATTTTTTTTCCAGAGCTGTATTCTCATAAAAATGCTTTGATCTCAGTCGTTCCCTCTGGATTTATATTGTTCTGCTGGCAGGAGATCCTCCTCCCAGATCTCAAGTCTTTTGCAGAGTCGAACTTTTTTCTCAGGACTGCAATGTTCTGAGCTCCATCCATTCTGTAAATAAAAATAAAAACATTCCTAATAATTATAATGCTCTCACTGACTGTGGGCATGGTACATTTACAGTGATGTGGAATTATTTTTCCACCTTGCATATCGTTTTGCATAGAGAGCAGAGATCTCAGTGAAGGGCTCCTTATCCATGGGTAAGTTACCCTCGACCTACCTGGTCCTCGTGTTCCTTGGTCTTCCTGATGCTGTTTGTTTATCAAATCTCTGAGGCCTTCCAGTAATTTCTGTATTTACACTAGACTCCATTTACTTATTAAATGATTTCTTAAAGGGGCAGTGTTGCGTATTTTCTAGGTACAATTTTATAGCACAATCAAGTAACTGTTGCCTTCAGTTGTTATTAAATACTGTATATCAAAGACGTAATAGAAATATGACTTTGCATTGTAGCTGCGTCGGAGTCACCAGCGTGGAGCTTTCGGTAAATAGGCGGCGATTTCTCAAACATGCACGAGTGACTCAAAGCAACACACTTTGTACATTTTTGATGAGTGAATAACATTTTAGCACGATATAAAGCTCAAAAAAATTATTTTGCATAATCTCACCCCCGCTTTCCCTTTAAGACAGCCGGTTGCACTAGATTTCATTTTGGTGTGTCGGAGTAAAGGGAGTTGAAATGTAAGACACGCTACTCAGATTTTGTATTGTAAACAGAAAATGAAAACCGCACATCATCTTCATTTTGCTTATCTATCGCAATTCCAACATAACCCATCGAAGTTTGTGGCTTTAATTCAAGAACACGTAGAAGGTTCAAGAGCAAGAGTACTTTAGCTGGGTACTGTATGCTGATTGATAGATGGATGGAAAGCTGCAGTGTATTGCTTAACGCAAACCTGAGCAGCTTCGTGTGAATCTATAAAACCTCCCACTGCGGAGTTATGCTTAGACCCTGATGACTCACTGTATGATAAAGTGACACAAGAAAAGGTTCCTTCTATGTTTTAATCACTTAAATGCGACACCACTGACTATAAAGCATATCGTGACACAAATCCATTGTGTTGACACACACTACCTTTGTGCAGTTTGACATATTTTCTGCTACGGAAAGCTTCTACCATCTACACTCATCAGGAACAAAGAGGCCAGCATTAAAATGTTTGAAACACAACATCCACATATAGTTCCTATGTGTTAAATTACTGTACATGTTCATACTCTGTGTGAACAGCCCCCTCTATGGGTCAGGACCGTGAGAAGATGTAGAAACTGCAGTCTACAACCTAACATGCTAATACACTGACGGACCAATAAAACCCATTTTTTGCTCCTTAAATCTCATCTGCTGCGCTGCGTCTGATTGGCTGAGGCGAGCAGCCTGTCTCAGACGGAGGTGTGACGCCATGCCCTGCTAGCTGCTGTGCAGCGACAGAGGAGAGATCCATAAACTGTGTGGATCAGGTGACTAAGCAGGAAGTTTAGAGGACAAAAAAAAACCCCTCATCGTTCTGGAGATGAAATAAGAGGCTTCTTGTTTCCTTTTTCTGGTCTATGAGAGAAGCACTTATGGATGTTTGTAACAGTGTTGTGTGAAATCAGTGTTCAACTCCCTCTTATTAATCTGGAGGTCATTAAGTGGGTCCTTCAGGATTAGGTTTAGGGTTAGGGTTAAGGTCATTCTGATCTCTCCCGGTGGCAGCTATGGAATCTTGTTCGGCCATTTTGCTGACGCTGAAAATGACCCCAAGGGCCAGCCGTCAAAGTCGGCCTCCTCCCTGCCTCTCCTCTCCTCTTTATCCATAGCACACAGTGATGTCAGCAGCCTATCCGTATTCCTGGACTGCTTTTTGCATCCCGTGGACCCCGTCACCCCTCTCCCACTCTGCTATCCTCCTCCTCCTCCTGATGCTCCTCAAAGTCCCTCCCTCTCCCACCAACCCACCTGACCCTCCGCAGTCCAATTAGACGCAGCATCGGCTGAATGCATGATTGCGCTGTGACTACCAAACACAAGCTGCAGTCTCACTCTCCTCCTCGTCTGTCTCCTTTCCTGCTCTCTTTTCCCACCACTTCCCTGTCTCTCTCTCTCTCTCTCTCTCTCTGTCTTTCTGCCTCTCAGTTGCCCTCCCTCCTCCTTGTTTTCATTCAAGTTGTTTACCCGTGTCCTCCTCGCCTCGCACTCTTCTGTCTATCTCCCTTGTCGCTGCTGTTGCTGCTGCTGCTGATCATCTGGCAGCCTCACCCCACATCCCTCCCATCCAACCAAAACCTCCTCCTCTTCCTCCTCCTCTGCCTCCCCCTTCTGGGTTTGGAGATCTTAAGAGCCGCTCAGCACACGCTTCCGCATAGCATAACACTCGGCTCCTGCATTGGGTAAAACATGTCAACCGTCCTGGACCTGGAGCAGATTTCGTGTGCTGGAAATGATGCGGTGAGTGACTAATGCGTCCGACTGGAGAGCCTGGCTAGGTCTTTAGAGGAGAGGCGTTATTCTGCACTTTTTCAATAGACTGACTGTTGTTAGCTCAATGGGTCTGTTCTGGATTGCTGGTAGAATAAGGGGAACATCTGCCAGGTGTGTGTGTGCGCACCCACAGGTCACACAGCACCCAAACTTGCTCAGGGTGTGGTGACGATACGAAAGATGCCCACGGTGTCTGTGTGTACATGTGTGTCGCTGCAGATGAACGTGTTCTGCAAACGCCTGTGGTGCGCCCATGCATTGCGTTCCTTATTCATCCATCACTCACTAAAAAGAGGCAGTGGGAGGGAGGTCACTCACCCCCCAACACAAGGCATGGCAACAATACGTTAAAAACATCTGCTGCTGCTTCACCCCCCCCCTGCAGAGTCCTTGAGTTTGTAGCTCCAGCCCGCCGTTTGGATGTGACACATGCAAGTAGCATGGGGGGGGCTGCAGGGAGGGGAGGGTCACCGTATCGCTGGGGGAATATGCACATGGATGTTTGTATGTGCATGGAGGGGTTTAGTGGCTCACACCCGAGACTGCCGTCGTTTTTAGCTGGAGGAGGAAACAAGAGTGCAGGTATTGATCGACCGAGGCGTTGCGGGGAGATGAGGGGGGGGGCTTCTCTTTTTTGCCCCTTTTTTTTTTTTTTTTTTTTTTTTTTTTAGAAAGCGAATCATTTGTTACCTTTTCACACTTGTGCACATGCTGATACTCATATTTTAAGCGCAGATGTTTCCCTGATATTCCCACAACCCGCCCAAAGCGGGCAGGAATAGATGCTAACGCCCTTCCCTTCCCATTTTATAGCTCTATGCGTTGAATCACAATCGTCAGTCAGATATCGATGTGTGCAATATCCCAAAGGACAGCTGGGATGCAATAACTTTAGTAGTCATTATGTCTCCTATCAAACGCCCCTTACTAATAACTTATTCAACTAGTAGGGGTGGGAGATGAGGAATTTCATCACAAACTTTATGATATTCATTACAGTGACAATAAAATTCAATCAAATGTTTATTTGGTTGCAAATATGCCACTCCATACAGTCTCAGACTCAAACAACAAACACTGCTATAAATCTAAAATTTTATCAGATGGCTGCTTTTCTACACCAATTACATTAAATAGTGCAACTGTACTGCAGAGTCATAATTCAGTCGTTTTGAACAGCAGACACTGGAAGAATAGTTTGAATTGGATGGACTCCTGCTGCTGATTTTACCCACAACTGACCTGGATCTTAATGGTAGAGAGGCTAAAGCTCAGGGAGAATGGTAGAGACATCATGATGGGAAAGGTACAACTAAGGGAGTTGCATGTTGGCTTAATCTGAATCGATGTCATCGTCACAACATTCAAATTAATATTGCAGTGACACATTTGTCCGGTTTTGTGCAGGCCATGTCTACAACCTACACATGTACCGATCAACATTGGTACATGAGATTGATCGGTAAGAGAAGTTCAAGCGAGGTAGTTTTTCCTCGTTCAGGCAGAAAATTCAGTATTTGTGCCTCTACACTAATTCTCAAACCGGGATGGTCATGTAATTTCTTTATTTTCTATTTGATTAGAAATGTTTACCTCCATCAAAGAGCCTGCAACACATTTGTTTTTCTTTTTGTGCAGTTGCTCAAGTAAAACAAGATCTGAATTGGTCATAATCAAAACAAATTTTAAATCTTTGTCAGCCTGGAAAAATCTGGATAAAAGCTCACACACAGTAGATCCAGATAATTACAGCATTCACTGCTATTAGGATAAAAAAAAAAAAACTTCTAGTACAAAGAAAATCAGCCTGTTCAACGCTGATTGGTTTGTCTCTACTAAGAACTTATCCAAGCACTCATGTTTATATGTTTAAAAGCGTGACGAGAGATTTGAAAAGTGAATCAATAACACTTTTAGCCCAACAGAAATCTCTTCCTCTCCTTTCCTCCTTCTCCATGATAGCTGGAGCAGACATGAGAAATTAAAGCGACGCAGCCCTTTCTGTTTTAAGGCACTCTCCCTCAGCCAGCCTCTTGACTTGTCTCTGCCACGGCTTTCATGCTCTACTTCCCTCCATCTACGTCCAGTCTGTCCCTTGATCCGTCTAACCCATCGTCACCCCGGTTCCCCCCGCGGACCTTTTCATTTCATGTCAGCAGTGGGAATGCATGTGCCTGCTCTCTCTGGCACACACACACACACACACACACACCAAAGAAGACAGGCGTTTTAGCAAAGTATATTTGTGGACTTGTCCTTGACTCTGTCCTTGTCTGGAAATGAAAATCTGCAGCAGCATGGCCGTTGAAGACAGTCTTTCCATCTACAGCTGGTTGTTTTTCTGCGCTACCTCGAGCGAAGGCTCCACACGAAGGCGGGAGTTCCTCCATCAGGGTTTATTTGGTCTCGCCATGAGAAGTAGAGTTCATCATCGGTTCATTTGCCACACATTTCTAGGGCTGAAGCCAATGATTGGTTTTGAAATGATTATTCTGACGGTTTATTGATTAATCGGATAAAATATTTTTCATTTACCCATTTAAGTATTTTTTAAAAACTATTAGAAGTCCATTAAAATAAGCAAGTAAACAAGTACTTCATTTTTAAAATAAAAAATGCAACAACAGCATTCCTTTAGTGTTTGCTTGGCTTGTATCAAAGGATGCAGCTTAAAAATAGTTTAAATATTATGAAAAGCTCAGCCCTTGATACTTAACTTTTCATCAGTAGAAATAAACCAATGATCAATTAGTTTATCTTTTGATGAATCAATTATTAATTGGGTGGAAAAACTAAAACTAGCTAATGTTTTAGCTAACTTAGCTATAACACCTGAGGAGTTTTGGGTTGAACATATTTACAAAGTGTTTTTTATTATTTTAAATGCAAAATGTGTATGTTTGTTTTTTCCACCATTTTGGCTGAATTGCTGTTTTTAATATGTTCTTCTTTCTGCTAGTGGCTTTCTTTTGTAGTTTGTATTCTCCAGTTAACATTAAATCGATTACTAATTATCCATCCATCCATTTTCTTTACACCCTTGTCCCTTACTAATTAGTTGATTATTATTTCAACAATCGATTCATCATGATTAATCGATAATCGTTTCAGCCCTACACATTTCTGATACTGCGGTGCAGTTTTAATGTTTGCCCGAACCTGTGCGGTTCAGGAAAACGGCACTGACAGGATCAACTCCTCCTCCTCCCCTTCTTCTTCTTGTGTTGCTGTGTCCGTTATACTCAGCGGATCCGAACGATTACAGCGGCCGCCGGCCTCAGGATTAGCCTCCATCTAATCTGAAGTGTTTACAACACATGCGCTTCTCCCAATGCTGCTGGGAGTTCACGGAGAAGCAGGGCCGACGTTCGATCTGTTGTCCTTAATGTGGATTTTTCATTCGCTCCGGCTTTCTCGCTCCATTATTGATGACCAGTGGGGCCTGGAGACCGGGGCGGCGGCCCCGCCCGCTGCTCTGTGCGGCTCACACGCCCTCACAGATGTATGGAGCCGCATCACACAGAGCGTTGTTTGCAGCGCCGCATCATGCTGACCTTGAGGAATTTGTTTGTTGGGATATGATGAGTTTGTGAATCACAAAGTTGGCCTGGAAAGTGGCAGCTTTTTTTTCTCCCACTTCCTGTAATTTCTCTCTGAATTGCATCAACTCAGTCAATGCTTTGATTGTTTGTTGCTGTGCAAATTCCACACTTTAGTCATTTTTTTTATCATCCGATATACAAACGTGGGGCTTTCCGGTTAATGGTGAAGAAATAATAATAAATTGATAAAAATGCTGGGATGTGCTTTCTGAATTTCATTATGCTTCTCTTTGCTTCTTCTTCTCATTGGTCCAAAGCACACCATGCTGAAATTTTTGCAGAGTCATCCGGGTGAAAGCGGATTCAGAGTCCTGAACAATAATGCTGCTTTTTTCTCTTTCCCTTTTTAACCAAATGAAAAGGGTTCTGCAGCCTGCCCTATTCACTGCTTTGTTTCTTCAAGGGCTCAGGACTGAAAAGACGCATGCTTTGCATACCCAATTTATAAACTTTAAAGTGTCCTTGTGGACACACTAATACAATGAGTGTGTTAGAAATAACCTGTCAACAGTTTAAGGACTGCAAAACATTAAGCAACAAATAGTATGTAGTAATTAACCCAGTGTTACTACATTTAAATTTCTACTTGAATAGTTTAGTTTAGCCTTGAAACTTCACGCTCATCTCTGGAGATACGTTTCCTTCCGCATCGATAAAGAAACTGCAGCTGTTATTATCTACGACTATTGAGTTAAAACCAACACAGTTTGGGTGGTGTGGCCAATCAAGTCCCTGGTCAAAAATGAAAGTCTTCTGGTCTGAGTTGATTTTATCACATTAGGGTTATGGACTTGACTTAATGGTCAAGTCCATTAAGTCAACAGACTTAATGGACTTGACCATTAAGTCTGCTTTAACCAATAACATGGTTAGAGCAGCTCCTTTCTACCCTCAATATGATCAACGAGTAATAACTTAAAATACTAAAATATTAATATTTGGGTCAAACTAAATCACATTTGTTTTTGTTTTACTTCAGTTTGCATTTAAATCTATTGTTGATTAAATTTAATGCATATTTGGTAAAACTATTGGAGTAATACAACTAATAAACGGCAAAAAAAATCCTATAATATAAATAATTACAGCTTCTTACCGTGACCATATTAAATGTCTGACTCTTTGGTCAGTGTGTGTGAAACATGGCTAGTACTAGCTTGTGCTAATAAATTAGCAGCTAAAAGGCTAAAGCAAGCTTAAATTAACAAATTGGTTTCCTTATGTGAAGAAAAGTTACACAAATTATGTTATGTTCTTAACATAAGCCGCTGAAATGAACATTGTTATTCAGCATCATTTTACATTTTACTATTGCTTATGCTGTCTTGGACAACAGGTTGAGTGATATCTCATCCAAAGTGGCGCTTTTTAATCTCCTCTCTAACCCAGCTTGCTGGTTCTCGGTGGTTAGACGACTCTCCCAACAAAGTAAATCCATCATTTGGGTTAAGGAAACAACCCAGCTATTATTTATTAGTAGCTTCTTCCTCAGGAAACATTATATGCCTTCTTTTGCTGTTCATGTTCATCTGAGAGGTTTCTGTTGTAACTTAGCTCGTTAGTAAAAGAAAACTAGAATCTGCCTATCTATCTCCTGAAGGCATTACACCTTTCATCCTCAGCTCATGTTTTTCCTCTCCTTGGTTGCAGGAACATGACATTGAGACTCCTCACGGCGTTCTCCATGTGACGATGCGAGGCGTTCCCAAGGGCAACAGGCCCGTCATCCTCACCTATCACGACATCGGACTCAACCGTGAGTCAGCCAAAAAAATATGTTCGCCCATGTCCCACACTCCTGGATGAATGACACGGTTTAGTGAGTATTTTTTTGTATTATTTGTAAGTTGTCTCCATCTTGTTTGCCTCTTTTTTTTTTTTTTAGACAAGTCCTGCTTCAACACCCTGTTCAACTATGAGGACATGCAGGAGATCACCCAGCACTTTGCTGTGGTCCATGTGGACGCGCCCGGCCAGCAGGAGGGTGCGCCTCCCTTCCCCAGCGGGTGAGTGGCGCTCTCCTTTAACACCTTCATTTCAGAGCTGGTGCTGACACAGCAGGTTCATTTGCTAATGGAAACGTTTTCACTGGTCATTTGTTTTTCAAATTGAACTTCCTTGAACGTATAAATCTATAATGATCTCAATTTTTCTGATTAACTGAAAGATAAGAAAATGTACGGGGTTTAGAAACTGCTTGTATTTCATGAACCTTTTAAAAATATTGTCACATTACAGCCATGACGTTCAGTGTATTTAACTATGGTTTTGCATGATGGACTTGCACAAGGTGGTGCATAGCTGGAAAGTGAAAAAAAGTATTTGTAGATTTTCAAAAAGAGAAAACTATATACAAATATATTTATACTCTAATGCCACTAAACATAATCCAGGGCAACTAATTACCTCCTGTTCAAATCTGTTCTAAGCATACAGCCTGAGCTGCAGTGGGATGCTTTAGGTGTGTGTGTGTGTGTGTGTGTGTGTGTGTGTGTGTGTGTGTGTGAGAATGACCAGTTGAAAACAATATATAACTCTCCTTTTCCACTTCTCAGTTATTCACCACTTTGTGTTGGCCCTTCAGTCAAAATCTAAGTACAATCTGTTCAGGTTTGAGTCTGAAAAAATGACAGGATGTAAAAATTGTCAGTGCACAAACACTTTTACATGATAGTATAAATTAGGGATGCATCGATATAAAGATTTGTGCCAATATTGATATCCAATAATAATATTGTCATTATGGGTGATACTCGATATTTACTGTTATTTTTGTCCGATACGATGTTGGCGCTGAAATATCACACAGCCAATACTGATATTAATTCTGATATATTGTGTGGCCGATGTCAATATTAGTGCCAATATATTATACATCCAATACCAATGCCAATATCCATATGGATGCAGCTATATCGAGTGGTTGATACCGATGTTGGTGCTGATATATCGTATATCAATTACATGACCTCTGACCTGTCTACAGTTACCATTACCCTACCATGGACGAGCTGGCTGAGATGCTGCCCTCTGTGATGACTCAGCTGAAGTGAGCATCTTTCCTGCTGTTTGCTGGTTAATTTTTTTTTTTTTTTTTTTGTCTGAATCACTACAGCATCTGTTTGTTTCTGTAGGGTCAACAGTGTGATCGGCATCGGTGTAGGAGCTGGAGCTTACGTCCTCACCCGCTTTGCAGTGAGTCCTCCACATTGGTGCTTTTTATTTATCCTGGTGTGCAACATAGATACACCCTGGCACCGTTTCCCAGGAGTTTTTTTGACCACACAGCTTGTAACATGAAAGCCTCTTATTGAACCCACACAGGACATCGGGTTCCTGTTGTGGTGCCAGTCACCCCGGGATGAATCACCTTTAAGATTCCCTCCTTTTTCATGCGCCTTGTTTCTGCGCTCGCTTAACAAAGCTAAAATAAGCACAATCTAGAAGAAAGCTCTGGAGAAGAGAGGATGTACTGACAGATTAATAATGAAACGGGAGGCTGGTAATACAGGGAGGTGAAGAGATGGAAAAATAGCAGCCGTCTCTCCAAGGACAGTCTGCTCCGGTTTAAAATTCAAGTGGAAACATTGATTGTGAAATATGTTTGGCTTTAACAGGCCGGAAAGAGAATCTTGTTTACCCGGGATGGGCAGAGCGGCTCACGCTGCACTGCATTCATATTTTGGCCAAACGCAGCATCTGCAGCATCTGCTCAATATTAAGCAAGATAAGGTCCTGTGTTTCCCCAGACAGCCTCTGTCTGCCTTCAGGCCTTTTTAAATCCACTCGCCTGCATTTAGAGTCCCAGCACTCTCTGTTGAATCACATTTCAGCTTCATTTGAACTGACAGATGTGCTTTATTTTTTTATAGGTTTTATCTGTGTCTTCATATGAGCATAAAATTCTTATGTTTTTCCATTTTCTTCATGTTCTCAGGCCTTCGTTAACAGCTTTAAAAACATATTTATTTTCCCCAAGCTGTAACCCGACACCCATTTGTAAAAATAAGCAATTGGTACCAATTCTTAAGAAGCAATTGGCACTTATAGCTTCCAAAAATGTTTTTCTTAAACTGCTTTTGAGCTTGTAGCTGATGATGGCGATAGTCCTTTCAACTTCTAAAACAGAGTAATATTTAGAAAAGCATGAAGGCAAAAGGCAACCAGCCAAAAGCGCAGACAAAGGTAGTGGAGAGTGATGATTTACTGAATGAATTATTCATTGCCACCCAAGATAAAATTAGAGATGGCAAAGTCTCTAGCTTGTTTATAAGGCAGCGATTTGTTCAGTGAGGAGGAAAAAGTCAAGAGATATTTTGGCTGAGAGCAGCAGCCTGGATACCCAAGCAACCGGTACTCTACCCAGTGAATTAAAAGCATTCTGTGAAGAGCCCAATTTGTCTGAAAGTTGCCGAATGTAGTGAATGACTGCTTGTAGCGGATATGTTGATAGTAATTTCAACTTCTAAAACTGAGTAATATTTTTTTTAAAAAGCATGAAGAAAGAAGACAACCAGCTAAATGTGCAGACAAAGGTAGTGAAGAGCGGTAGCACAAAGGTAGTGCAGACAAAGGTATCACTGCTTGTGATTAAAAACATCTCATTCAAAAATTAAAATTCTGGCAGCTTTCTGGTTAGACATTTGTATTTCTGCTGGTTCTGACCAGCATTTTTACTCTTATCCACCCATGCATGCATCAGCGCATTCCTCCCAGTAGTTGTCAGTGGTAGCGGTTCTGCAAAACATGGTAGAAGTGAATGGAAGCAGCTGGAAATTCCGCTTTTCAGTCCCCATTTAATTTGAGAGGGTTTAGCTTTATACATACATGAGCATTTAGTTTTTCTCACATGTTGTTTTTCAACAAGTCAATTCTAGATAATACCACACATGTAGTGGATAGACCTGAAGATAAAATACTAAGATACAGTCAGATGCTCTCTCATTTATTGGTCTCTAGGAAACATTTAGTCACAACTGCAGCTATTAGTGCTATTAGTATTGGAAATGCACAGCCTGTTATTTATCATGTCATCCACAGAGTGACAGAAGACGCATGCAAAATAAAAAATAAATAATTTTCTTTTTGAGACAGTTTGTACCCACAAACAACACCTCTGACCTCAGTGGCCTGCTGGCTGACGTACAACTACGTGCCCTTGCCACAACATGAACTATGTGTTGAGCTTGTCCCCTTAACTTCCTATTTGCTGTTGCTTCCTTTAAAATCAAGTCTTCAATTCTTTTATGATCCTGGAGTGAAAAGTATTTCTGGTAAAGAGAAAAACCGAGACTTTCAGCTGCTTCCATTCACTGCTGCTATGTTTATCAGAGGAGAAGAAAACCTGCTTCTTTGTTTTTGTTCACTTTATGTTTTTATTCACAGTTTATGGCCACAGAGTCATTTAAAAATGTTTCCCTTTTTTGTTTTTTTATTTTATAAAGTTAATTAAATTTACAGATATAGGTGCTTTGCTGTCCTAGACGAGCTGTCATCATCCATATTAAGATTTTCTTTTTAGAAGGGTGTCTCCTCAAAGACTCTTTTCGTGTGTCACTTTTTTTATTATTATTACAAAAAATGGTGGAAAGTTGTTTCATTTTAAAACTTTTCTGTCTCTAAAACACTGCATTACCTTCACGTTCATTGCTTACTTTCCAGCTGAACAACCCCAACCTCGTAGAAGGACTGGTTCTGATCAACGTCGACCCGTGTGCCGAAGGCTGGATTGATTGGGCCGCTTCGAAGGTCAGTGTTCCAACTTCACCGCAGAACCCGGAAGGAAGTTTCATGTGAAATTCAAACAGGAATGAGAAATGTGCGATCAGAAGCGGCCAAAATGGAAAAATAAACTGACGAACTACACAAAAGTATTTATTTTTTTTCACCGTTATCATACTGCGATTCAGACGACTTTCAAATTACTGCTAGAGGAAGAGTATCCCATCAACAAAAAATGGTGGAACAATAACATTGGGTTACAAAAGAATATTCTTTGGAAGTTGTCTGTTTTTTCAGCTAAATTTGGACTATTTAGCACAGCTGAATCCAAAAATGACATCAATTTTTCCTCCATCAGGTCAGGTTTTTATTCTAATTTGATTTAGAGAAATCTGATCTTCTGACTTAATTCATTACATTTTTGTGACACAATCAGTTTACTGTTGTTAATATTCCTCATCCAAAAATGGATTTAGGAGGGAAAAATTGTTTTCCAACAGAGTTTATTAATTAAATGTTACAAATTTGGATTTCTGAAAATTGAATAATAAACACTGATCAGGGTTAGTACGTGTGAATTGAACATTTCGTCTTGACTGTGTAAAATTCTCCGTCTCTTTCCTGTCCTGATGGAGTCTCTCCTCCTGCTCATCACTCACTGATCAGATTCTCAGGAAATCGATCCAGATGTGAGAACAAGTCGTGGGTTTTGATACTCATGTTGCTCCATAGTTCAGAAAGTTGACCTGATTCAGCAAAACCAGTCTGACTTTTGGATTGAGCTCATCAAAATTACCCTAAAACAGTTGAAAAACCCCAGACAATCTTTTGACTTCCAACCAGTGTATAAGTGTACAATATAAGATCTGCACAGGCGGAGCAGACTCAGTATTATTAGATGAGCAGTGGTTAAAAATACACATGGTAAGTTTTTATCAGAAAGCGCTGATGCAAGCTCCAGATAGGGTTGTTTTTCTACCAGACCTTATGTTAATCTGCATCTAAAGTGCATCTAAAGATATATTAAGCTGCTTTTTGTTAATTTCTAAAACACATAGTAACATTGTTTGTTGTTCAACAAAGTTTATTTAAGGAATAACTTAGCTACACTCTAATTATGCCATTTATTCTGCTTATTATTGTTGCACAAGCTAAATGTTCTGTGAATTTGCTCACCGAGTACAAAAATCAGTTTCCTAAGAAAACGAAAAGCACACACTAACAAAATGATGATAAATGTGTTACATTGTCTCTGCTGGCTGTGTGTGTGCAGCTGTCTGGATGGACCAGTAACTTGGTGGACATCGTCATGGCTCACCACTTCAGCACTGTGAGTTCTCACTGCGACTCTTTCTCCTGCCCTCCCCTCTCGTTTATTACTGATCCTGTGTCGGCGTCTGTAATAAACTACTCGACTTCTCTAGAAAACCCAGAGGTTTATCTAACCTTTAACGACTAAAAGACGTTTGCTAATAACGTCTTTAATATGCAGTGAGGCCGATCATGACCCACAAAAAGCAAACAGTCGTCTAATAGTGCTATAAATGACCCCACTGTGCAAACATAAACAGCTGTTGAAGTGAATCAATCACGTAAAATGTATTCACATCCACTGCACTTCTGTTAAATGTGACTTCCTGCACGTTGTTGTGTATGAAATGGATTATTCCTTAATCTTTTCAACACACGTGGTCACGTTACAGGCACAGAAATTTGAAACATTGTTTTTTTTGTGTGCGTGTTTGACGTCATATGCAACTTAAGCAGAATTGTGAAGCTGAATAAAAATTACACCAGGTTTTATTTTACCCATGTGAAAAGAGAAGCTGCAGAGATCCGCAGACTCTGCAGACTAGACAAGTAGGTGTGAACCGAAAAATTGGCCTTGATTTCCTCAGTCTTACCGATCTTACCTTCCTCTGCAGAGGTCTAAAAGTCAGCCATTGTTCTCTTTTCCTCTGCCATGAGAGAGGTTTGACTGACAGCGGTCAACAATAGTCACCCACTGTTGCCAACTTAGCAACTTTGTCAATATATTTAGTCGCTTTTCAAACAAATTAAAAAAAAAAAACAGTATCGACCAAAATTGGAATTGGGAAGTCGGGCTTTTTAAAGATCAACGATAGACCTGAAAACTGTAATCAGTGCCTCCTCTGGAGACACCTGTTGGGATTTATACATCCTCCATAAGAGCAGACAAATTGGTTCTATATACCATGGGTGCAAGTTCTTTATGACGTTTTTGCTGCTTGTTCTTGATGCATGTACATGGATATGAAGTGTGAGCAGCAGTGTGAGAGACCCATGAAGACTTTGTAGTAGTTCAGTCATACTTTCTATAGATCTGGCATGTATGGAAGAGAGGCTGTAGAAAGCTTAAAGAAGTACTGTTAGCTGTTTGCCTCAAGAAAACATGTGGGAGAAGTTTATTTGTTTTGACTTGCATGTAAAAGTCCAGGTTTTGGCTAAAAATGAGCCGTAGCCATGCTTCCATCCAATTGTTTTGTGAATTTTGAGCAAACTTCTAAAATGTTCCACAAAAAAGCAAAACGCAGTTTAGGCGCGTTTCCATCTACGGGTTTGGAGCGAATCAACCAGGTTATGCAAAGCATAATGTCGTCAGATGTAATAAACTCATGGCTGCAAGTGGAGGTTACAAACTAGCATGGGTCACATGCTAGTTTGCGCATTAACACTTTTCAAGAAAAAAGTAAAAAATGTTTTTGTTAAATTGAGGGAGTTTTTTTCAAATGTTGCCTTAACATAAACCATAAATCTTTTTTTCAATGATATACCTCAAAATGCACATAAAAAACCCCTCAATGGATCACCCTGAACATCCCATGGTGAAACACAGCAGTGACAACATCATGCCAAGTGTGCCAAAACGAGAGAGGGGTACGATTACTGTAGCGTCTGGACTCTTAAATGTGTTTATCTTTACTGGAATTTGTTGAAGTATTTTCTGTCCGTCAGGATGAGCTGACAGAAAACCAGGAGCTGATCCAGACCTACCGCCTCCACATCGCCCAGGACATCAACCAGGACAACCTGGCCCTGTTCTGTGGCTCCTACCAGTAGTAAGTTCAAAGATGTGAAAGATGCACATTGTTTTGCTTTTTCTTCTTCTTCATTTTTATTATTATTATTATTATTATTGTTATTATTATTATTTCTGGTCAAAACTTAAAATTAATCCCAAAAAGGCCAGTCTAACCCCACAGCTTAAGTCAACATTACATGGTTCTTTTTTTAGCTTCATCTTCTCTTAACACGCCGTTACTTTACTTTGTCTGCAGCCGCAGAGACCTGGAGATCGAAAGGCCCATCGTGGGGTTGAACGAGGATACGGTGAACACACTAACGTGGGTGTTGAGACTGAGGCGGCGCTGATCTGTGTTTTGCACCAGAGCGCAGCTTGACCTTAGATGTTTTTCTGTTCACCCACTCCAGGTGCCCCTCCCTGCTGGTGGTCGGAGACACGTCACCTGCTGTCGAGGCTGTGGTAGGTCAAAGTTCACCAGAAATGGTTATTTAAATAATTTGCTTCTTCTTCTTTGTTGTCAACGTCTTTGTGTTTCAGGTGGAGTGCAATTCCAGGTTGAATCCCACCAAGACCACACTGCTAAAGGTGAAGCGCGTTTGCTATTTCAGATGAGTAAAACTCAAATCAATTTTAGCTTTAAAATTCACGTTTTAATAAAACTGATATTGATTCTTTAGATGGCTGATTGTGGAGGCTTGCCACAAGTTGTGCAGGTCAGTTAATTTTTTTTTGTTGCTTTTTTACATTTTAGAAATGCAACATGTCACTTTTTTTTCTGAAGCCAAACCAACATTCAGCTTCTGCACAAATCTGGAATAAACTTCCAGAAAACTTTAAAACTGCAGAAACACCGACTTCCTTCAAATCAAAGCTAAAAACTCACCAGTTTAGAGTCGCCTTTGATTAATAATAACTGGAACATTAATCAACATATTTGATTAATGATAGCATTTGACAAAATGTAACGTTGGCTGCTTGTTTCATCGTTACTGTGTTACGTTTTCATGATGTCAAACACTTTGAACTGCCTTGTTGCTCCTATCTGCTCTGGAGATAAAACTTGACTTTCTCTCTGCAGCCCGGGAAGCTCGCCGAGGCGTTCAAGTACTTTGTTCAGGGCATGGGATACAGTAAGTAAAACAGCTGTCATTTTAATGTGTCAAAGGTCTTTGAAAAACATATGAATATATATATATATAGTAACTCGGGTTTGAACCGGTTGACTCTGTGGTCACTTTGTAGCTGCTTCTCGATGACGTTCTTGTGGTTCAGGTTCATCTGTGTTTACTTCTTCGGCTTCCTGTTGACGTGAGCGCAATTACAAAAGACTCCTGAGCTCGGTGGGGGTTGTTTTTTGTTTTTCTCTCTCTCTCTCTCACATTGCTGCCTGTTGCTAAACAACCTGGGTTTTGGTGGAGTGGGTTGGGTTTCGTCCAGGAGAGCATGAAAAGCGGCATGCTCTCTGAGCCCCCATCCCGGACGGAGTGGCCTTCGAGGGGGGGCTTCTGTTGGTGCTAATATCATTTCCTCTGTGCTCTTTACAGCGTGTGCCACTCACAGCTCTCAGTAGGTGAGATTTGTATCTGAAATCACACTCAGATGTGCTGAACAGCAATTTGCTTCCTGCTCGGCACAGAGTGGGTGTTGAAAATGACCCCTTTTTTATTGTTCTTGGTGTGCTTTTTTTTTTTCTCTCTCTCCCTTTTAATGCTCAACTGTTTACTGATGCGCTCTCTTTTGAGGGCGAGTCATAGTTAAACAGGCTTTCTGGTTTTAATGTTTGCAGTTTTTGAAAAAAGAAAAAGTGTTCAAAGATTGAGAGTGTGACCTCTGGGCGGATGAGTCGGTTTATAAAGTTTTACTTTCCTTTCTCACACAGATATCTGTCTATAGTGGGCTGCAAAATTAGCCATGAGAGTGAACATTTTCACATTTTCTCATGTTACAACAAACCACCCTATATTTCTTTTTAAGATTTCATGTAAAAGATCAACATGGGTCATCAAAAGAATAATGATATACTTTATTGATCCCCAGGGGGAAGTTTCTTATTTGTTGACAGGCTATTCCTGTTAAATATTAGCAACAATTAGTGATATAAAATGTGCAACACAAGTGTGAAATTAATATTTAGACTACAAGTACTTTAAATGTGACTTAAATATAAAGTAAATTAAATAAATAAATGGAAATGTGTGGATCTATAACAAGCCTAGAGGGTAGTAGTGCATAACTGGGAAGGAAAATAATCTTTTTTTTTTTTATCCTTTTTTTTATTTTTTTGCAAGTAAGATATAAAAATGATGAAACAAATTTATATTCATCCTCCCTGATTCAACACTTTGCAGAACCACATTGCGTTCTCTGCACACCTACACCATTCCTCTTTGCAAAAGATGTTTCAGTCTGATTGGATGGAAAGTGTCTGTTCTGCTCCAGAATGTGAACACGCTCTGAGCTCCGGCGTCCGGCTTCAGCTCTGGACGAATGGTTGGAGTTTGTTGTCCAGCTGGAAGGTGAAGCTCCGCCCCCTTTCTCAAGTCTTTTGCAGACTGTAATAGGTTTTTCTTCAAGAATTATCCTGGATTTAGCTCTGAATGACTCTGCCACCACCGTGTTTCACTGTGGTGTGGAGATGAGTGATGCTCATTTTTTTGCCACGCTTTTAGCATGTTGGCCACATAGTTCCCTTTTGGTCAGAGACCAAGAAGACCTCCTTCTCGCCACTTCTCCATAAAGACTCATTTTGTGGCGTGCTTGACGAATAATCGTCCTATTGACTAGCTGTTGACTATTTTAGTAATCAATTAATCTATTTTTCTCATGATTAATTGTATAATCAAATAAAAAAAGTATCAATATCAGCTGTAGATATCAGCCCAAATTTCCATGTATGTGCATCTCCAACTGCTACTCCTGTTCCTTAGAAAATGAACTTGTAACAATAATATCTAATTTTTATGTCAAAATTCCACAAATATCTGAAATTATGTTCAATGTAATAACATTAGAAAGCAACATATTCAAAAACAGGATTTTTTTAAAATGTGTATACTCCAGTTTTTAGTTTACTCATCTTCAGTCAATTTAATAAATGTGAGCGATGGGATCTTTGTCACACAGAAACACATAAGTCAGCTGTGTACATATTAGATTCATTTGGTAGGGAATTTATTTTCCGGTTCGTCTGTAAAGCTATACCTGTAGCTACAGCTATCAGCTACAGCATCCTGCTGTGTTTGGTCATTCTTTGTTATGCTAATAGCACTTAGCCTTCATTAGCAGCTCATCAGCAGAAGGAATAATTTTTCTTTCCACTTCCGTTATGCAACTCTTTTTCTTTTCTTGTTTTTCCCTGTCAGTCTCCCACATTAAACCCTCTGCAGTTTGATGTTACGTGACAAAAAGTGAAAACACTTTTCTGCAAGGCGCCCTATGAGTGAATCTCTTTAATGTCACTTCTCTTTTGGTCTCTGCTGCTATCAAACTCTTCGCCGTGGAAGGAGCCGGCGTGGCGGCATCACTTTAAAGGCCATCCAGTCCACCTATCGAGTAAATGTCACCGCGGGATTAGAGCAGATTAAAAAAAGGCTGTTTTCATGCAGCGAATGTGTGCAAAATAAAACCTTGGCACCTCAGTGTGTTTCCCCCTCATTAACACCTCGGGGCAGCATGACATGCAACAGGAAACGGTCATAGACGGCAGGAAGCAGCCCTCGATGTGTGCGCACATGCTATGATTTCTTACCTCTTGTTGCCAGCCAGCTGCCGTTTGTCCTGAGTCGATGCCAAGCCTCCTCTAAACACAAAGATGCACCTTTTCACTCCTCTTCTCCTTTTTCTCCTGTCTTTTCTTCTTCTACTATTGCCCTCAGTTCCCTACGTTCTCCTCAGTCACCTGAGCAACGAATCAGGTACTGGACTCTTCAGTAGCTCCTCCACCAGGGGGCGCTTTGAACCGAAATGCTTCTGCAGCACACACGTGTGTCAAACTCAAGGCGCAGGGGCCAAATCCGGCCCGCCTTAGCTACTTATGTGTCCCTCTGGGCTGCAGGGGGACGCATATAATTAACAGTTGTTTGCTTAAATGTTGTTTCATCAGTTAAGGCAACAGTTTTTATCTCTATACGGCCAAACTACATCAATCAGTCCCTCGAGTTTTTCGCAGTCGCAAAATCAACAGATCTTTGCACTTCTACGTGCTACTCCATAATTGTGAGTTTATTGCAAATCTTCCACAGTGGTTGAAAAATATTGGGTTAAAGTGATGCCAACTCCCACCTGCAGGTGGCAATATTTCTTATGTCTACCACACTGCCACCTCAGCCTTAACTGATGTTAAATTATAATTTGTAATTAGTATGGCGAGTAGCAAAAAAACAGTCACCTTTACTGAAATATAAGCTCAAGTATCACAACATTTTGTGCAAATATTTTTAAATTAGCCCCTTAAAATTGTTATGGGTTTTGTAAAAAAAAAAATTAAATTCATTTTTAATTTTTAATTTATTTATTTATTTATTTATTTATTTATTTATTTATTTTTTTGCAGTCATGAAATCCTGGAGGGACTGACCAGAGTGAAAAGCTGTTGCATATTATTTATTTTTTAAGAAGTGCTTATTGAATTCAGATATGGCTATTTATTAATGTTTTAAAGGGGCAGTATTTTTGTAAAATCGACTTTTTTTAGCTTCTTCTGCTCCTTCAAACTAGCCAGCAGCAATTAGCAAACACCTGCATAAGTGTAACGTCACGTCTACTTATATAGGAGTGGCTTCTCAGTGAACCACTGGTAAAAATGTTGTTAAAGGGTTAATAGAGGAGCCATGTTGTGATAACTTCCTGAAGGCGGAGTTTCAGAAAAAGTAGGAGCTTCTTAAAGAGACAAAGGCCCAATTTCAAGGTGTTAAATTACAAGGTCAAATTTCTTTTAAGTCATATTTGGTATATGACTTTGAAACAGGGAACATAGTTAATTGATTGTGCTATAAAATGGCACTTTGTGCCTAAAAGGCACATAGCACTGCCTCTTTAACAGTTTAATGGGTTTTAGTAATACATTCTGGCCCAAACGGCCCTTCGGGACATTCGTTATCTTGATGTGGCCCCAAAATGAAAATGAGTTTGGCACCCCACCCCGCTCCATTCTGAATGTGAATGTGTGCAGAAAGCTCCACACAGAGCTCTGCTAGACGTTTTCCAGCAGCATTTTTAGAAGCTTCTGCATTACATTCTTCTTCTTCTTCTCCCTGTCAGAGCCCGGCGCTTCCCGTTAGCATGTCCTCGCTCCGGCGTCCAAATACTGCATGACCCGCTGCAAAATGCCGTGCTCTGTTGTGCCACATTGCTTGTGTCGTTTTAATTTTTTTGTCCCCCTTTCAGTGGACACATTCAGCAGTTCTCAGTCACACCTCTTTATTTTATTTTAGCCTGATTAGTCGTTTATTCTGAGAATTGCTTGCATGGTAAGCACTTTTCTTTTTCTGTTTTTCAGTTGTTTCTGTGTTCCTGCTTCACTCTGGTCTCTGTGTTGATGTGTGTGTCAGTGTGTGTGAGAGTAGAATATTAACATCTGTTGTTTTTTTTCCTCCTCCCCTGTTTCAGTGCCGTCAGCAGGAATGACTCGCCTGGCTCGCTCGCGCACCACCTCCTCCTCCAGCATCACCTCCATGGAGAGCAGCCGCAGCCGCAACAACATCAGCAGCCTGCTGGAGGGCAACGCCGCTGCCGGGGCACTGGACAGCCAGGTGGCGCCCCAGACCATGGAGGTGTCCTGTTAAACCCCTCCCCACCTGCGTGCACACTCCCACAGTAATTTATACGCCACTCCCCTCCTCCCTCTCTTTTCTCGCTCATCCTGCTCCCAAGCTACTTGACGCCAGAGGGAGTGTGTGAGTGTGTGTATGTGTGATTAGAAAAGGAGGAGCTAATAAAAAATATATATTAACAGATGCATATTAGAGGATATGTTATATATATATATATATATATATATATATATATATATATATATATATATATATATATATATACACACAATGTAAAAGTAGACACACAAACATAAAACAAGAGCACACACATA